GTATAGCCGTATAGGTGATTAAGTGATTTTGATGTAATGTATATGTACAACCAATTTTTACAATTTTAATAATAACCATACCTATTCATATTATTTTATAATACCTATTATATTAGCAACGATGACTTCAACCTGCAGCGTTCTACCGACCCTGCATCTACAAAAGATAGTTTATTATCTGTATTTACAACCATTACTGAGTAAGTATTTACAAATAAATTAATATGGACATAATAATAGTGTATAATATAATTAACAATTTTATTATTGTAGAGACAACAATATTTCTGACCATAACTTAAGTGTTATTTATACTGCATCTGAAGATGGTTTATCATCGGAAAATACTACAACTGCCGAGTAAGCGTGTACAAAAAAAACTAGTGTTATGCAATTTAATTTAATTTTAATTTTTTACTAGAACTTATAATATACTGTTTATGATTGACTAATAAATATTTTTAAAAGCAATAAAATCACTTAAAACAAAAAAGATGCCAAGGAACTCACTCAAGCTATTGTATAGGCAGTACCTATACGTTTTGACAAGGTAAACTTTCAATAAATTTGTAATTACCCGGTCGGAATTGTTTTCATTTCTTGAAATCCCATCGTTATCGAGTGGTTATACGAAAGTACAAGAAAACGTAGCTGATATTGTGCATGCAACAGCATGGGATGAAATTAAAAAAAGCTGGTGAGGAAGAAAAAAAAATGTCGTTGGAGTGTGGTGATATAGATGTAGATGGCACACCAGTCATCACAGTTGTTGCAGATGGGCAGTGGTCTAAACGCAGCTATCGGACAAAATACGACGCCTTATCCGGAGCAGTAAGTAGGCTAGAATTTGCATATTTTTTTATTAATCATTCAAAACATAACTTATTGATATAGGTATAAATTTGTTTTAAAGAAATACAGTCAGAAATACCTAACCTAACCTATACGTTTTGACAATGTAAACTTTCAATAAATTTGTAATTACCCAAATAGTTTTTTCCAATTTTGATAAATTTGATCAACATGGTTTAAATACTTGTAAAAGATAACACATTTGGAATTTCGAGATTTTTTATATAAAAACATTTTATTAGGGAAAAATGCGAATTTTTCATTTTAAATCATATGTTTATAAATATTTCAAAAACGAACTAATATATTATGTATATATAATATATATTTATTAATTCCAGGCTTAGGTACTGTAAAACATTTATTCAACTATGTTATTTTTTGTTTTTTTTTTTTTTTGAATTCCTAGACCTTTAACAGGCCGAAGAATTATTGATATTTTTCACTTTATCAATCAAATCCAAAAGGTACACAGTGGTGGGTTTGGTTGTTCATTTATTGACATGGAGTATCAGAAAGAAACATTTGTAGGATTTCAGTCAATTTTAACATTCAAATTTAAAGTGTGTAACATCGAAAGTAAACTTTATACAGAAAATCCTAAAACAGTACAAGTCCCAATTAATAAAGCAACTGTTCATGGCTGTCAAGCAATCGGTATTGGTCACACACAGCTGTCGGAATTGTTTTCATTTCTTGAAATCCCATCGTTATCGATTAGTGGTTATACGAAAGTACAAAAAAACGTAGCTGATATTGTGCATGCAACAGCGTGGGATGAAATAAAAAAAGCTGGTGAGGAAGAAAAAAAATTGGCTTTGGAGTGTGGTGATACAGAAGTAGATGGCACACCAGTCATCACAGTTGTTGCAGATGGGCAGTGGTCTAAACGCAGCTATCGGACAAAATACGACGCCTTATCCGGAGCAGTAAGTAGGCTAGAGTTTGCATATTTTTTATTAATCATTCAAAACATAACTTATTGATATATAAATTTGTTTTAAAGAAATACAGTCATACTGCATATGTAATTAAAACTGTAGTTTTGTTTGTATGTTTAATTTTTTTTACCTTTAGTACATATTTTGGTAATATATCTAATATAGTATATATAGTTTGGTAATAATGATAATTAAACCAAATCTTATTTATTTAATTTAGCCTACGATAATTGGTCTTAAATCTAAAAAAGTGCTTTTCGTTGGAATACGCAATAAAAATTGTTGTATTTGCCAAAAATCGAAAAATAGTAAAAAAGTCGCACCTGATCATCAATGCTTCCTCAATTCGAAAAAGTCCTCAACAAGTATGGAGGCCGATGGCGTGGTTAAAGGATTTATGAAAACCGAGGAAATGCATGGATTAAAGCCATAATACACATAGAAGTGAAAGATTAAATTTTTCGAGTAGAAGAAGCTATAATACTAGGATAGAAGCAGCCGTAGTTTCATTTAACTCTAAACAGTATCTAAGAAAAATACACAAAAAGATCTCCAACTGTAGTCCAGGTGTGTTGTAGTAAAAAGTTTTAAAATTTTGAAAAAGGTATCTACATTAAAAATAATTATTTTGTTTTATAGGAAAATTTGGGAAAAGATTCATAAAGAATTATGAACGAATAAGAGCCAACACATTAAAAAGAAGACAGTTATTCCCAGAAGCTTCTAAACTAAAATTATTTGTACTGACGGTCCAGATGCTGAGTATGGTTTGGCAGAGCAGCTAACAAACCAATATTCACCACAAGATTTTGAAAAAAAAAAAAAAAGAATTCCTTACATCCTTAGAGAATGCAGATATTAAAAAAATTGAAGATGATACTAGAAATCAAAGTGATAGTGAGAAGTGGTACTATGAACGCAAAAAACGAATTACTGCTTCTCGATTCGGACAAGTTTGTAAAATGCGTTCTAATACCAGTTGTAAAAACACCGTGTACAATATACTTTATGCTAGAAATGTCCAATCTAAATATTTACAATACGGCAGATATACGGAGCCTATCGCTCGTAAAAAAGCAGAATGTATAATTGGCGAAAAAATACAAATTTGTGGTTTGATAGTGGATCCTGATGAGCAATACTTAGCAGCTAGTCCAGGTAAAATATTTGAATATTAGGTATTATATTATATTATTTATGTTTTAATAATTTAATTTACGGATACAATTTAAAATATATCGGGTCTAATATTATGTAGATGGCTTGATTGGTAAAACGGCAATTATTGAAATTAAATGTCCATATATTGCAAAAGACACTTCAAATGCAATAGATGCTATTAACAAAAAATTAGTAAGTCATGTTGTTTACATATTATTATAATCATTGCGTATACTTTAAGCCTGTAGTTTTACAATTTCATTTTCTTAAACTTTATAATTGCCATATTGTAACATAGTAGATAATTTTACAAAACTTAAAAAAGATAATATTTATTGTTATCAAGTAATGGGCCAGTTGCATATTACCCGCAGAAAATTATGCTATTTTGTAATATATACCAGTAATTGGATTACGGAAGAAAAAATTTATTATGAACCAGAATTTTGGACTTCTAATATGGCAGAAAAATTAAAAATGTAATTTATCATCTGACCTAACTTAATAATATTTTAAGCAAGTACATTTTTAATTTGTTTATAATTTTAGGTTTTATATGGATTGTATGCTACCTGAAATAATTCAACCACTTTATCCAATAAGAATGTTGAAGTCCGATATGAAAGAGCTTGAGCGTATTATTAAAAATATGACCACAACTAATAATAATTTTAAAAAAATGTAACCTTTATTCTCATCAATTATTCTATAATATTTTTAATAAATGTGAAACGTGTTTTTTTTATTTATTTAAATTTTAAAGATACTTATTACATATATGATAGGTAACTGCTAAGTCTACACGTCTACAGTATATTATATATACATATCAATATATGTATGTATATGTAGTTTTTCCTTAATGTAGTTGATGATATTCAGATATACCCACATTATTTGATATACTTTTGTATCCCTTTCTATATAGGTATGCACTCTTGAATCGTATATCTGTGTGATTCGTAAATCATCGGTATAAGAGTATGAAGTAAGATAAGTATTTAGTACCTTGGTACTAGGTAGAAAGGTAGGATCTTATAAATAATAAATTGTTTTGATATGTGCAGCTGTATCATGTTTAAAAAAGGGGTCAAGTGGATGTCGCTCCGCTGTACAGTAGATTACAAGTAGGTCACTGTATAATGGATGGTATTAAATTTGAATTCAATGATATAATATCATTGCATACGATAAACGATTCTGAGCGGAGACGGTATGTCAGTCTAGGATATTTTAAATTATATTGATATCGTTATTATACGGTAGCTGGTAAGTTGAATAATTCAAACTAAAATATATTACCATTTCAGATTATATAGTACCTAACGGTAATCGTATCTTTGTAGAAAGGTAGAATCTTAAAAATAATAATAGATAGCTTTGATACGGGCTACTGTATCATCTTTAAGAAGTACCCAAAAACTGTAATTTAAAAAGTATACCTATGTGGTAGCAGTATAACGTAAAATCATATATTCAATTAATTAATTTACTAAAAACTAATACCTATTTAGATATTTAGGTAGGTAATATTAGTTTAGGATACTGTTATAAAGTAGATATTATTTACTGTATTGTATATATTTTGTATAGAGTAAGCATCTAATAATGCAATAATTATAAGCCGAGTCGCCGAGAAGGTATGCGCGAATATTACGGCGGAAATGCGTTATAATATAAGGTGTTTACATTTTATATTTACGCGATTAGACACAGTCGAAGGTTGAGGAAATAATAAACATCGCTCCCGAATGAGCACAATCGTCGGCCGGTCGCCGACAACGAGAATTGGGCGTGGCTTAAACGCCGCGTGCTTGCGCATCGTGAAAACACTTAACAGCGCGTTCTCTCGGCCGTTCTATACGTTTCGCTTTAGGTGTAGCGTCCTCTTAAGTACGAAATGCAATAATTACTTTATCAATATCAATATTTATATCATGTTCACATGAAATAAGCATTACATTTTCTAATCATGTTTGTTCCATCGTTGAACTTAGCCTGGTTTTTATAATTTTTATTTTTGAAAAACTTCTTTCAACTGTACAGCTAGACGTTGGTAGTGTTAAGCTTAGTTTTATTATATAAGTTTTTGAATTCTGCTTTTATGTTGGCGTTATTCATTGTTTCAAAAATATTTATTGAACTTTCCATGTTCTTATAATTGTCTATTTCCCCATCACTTTCTTCATCGTCACTATGAATGTTGTCTTCATCAGAGTCTGCATGGATTTGTTCTGGTAGCTTTAATAACAAGTTAACATCTAAATCTTTAACAATCTCTTTAAACATGATGTATTCATTTTTGATTAATTCTTGGTTTAATCCATACACATTGAATATCATTTTAAATGCATGTTGAGGGAGATCAGTTTTTTCTTTCATTCTTTTTAATGATAATAGACCAATAATATCTTTCATGACTGATACTGAACTTTGATTAAACTTGTCATGAATCTGTTGTATTATAATATCGATTGTTACAAAATAAACTGATACTTTAAAGTATTGAACTGGATTCTCAATAGTTTCATCAAAAGTTATCTCACCGATTTGTCGAACATCTTTTTTTTCCTGTTCCTGAAGGATGGTAAATTATTTATTTCAAAATCACCAAAATGTTTTTTTTTTAAAATGATTTTGCTTCTTCAAAAATATCATTGAAAACTTCATCATTACGCATCTTAGTAATATTATATTCTGCTTTTTTTAATAATTGACGGCAGCCAAAATGTCTAAGTCTCTACTTTGAAATAATTTACTTAAATGCCCTAGAATATCAAACAGATGCTTAAACATAAATGCTGTTACAATAAAACGAGAAGACTGAAAATACATTAATAGCCCATTGCATTCATTGGCTATTTTATAATCTGATGAGCCATCTTGATTTTTAACTTCCTCTAACATATCCAATATTGCTTCCAGTGTTTCAAAAATTGTTGTTAAGGCAAATGAGTTTGATATCCATCTTGTGGTACCAACTCTTTTTATTGCATGTACTTGTTTTTTTGGATAAATTTCTTTTTGCTTCATTCTATAAATGTCTGATCTTTTTTTACTGCATGTTGTTACGGACTAAACTAACAGAAATGACTAAAAAGGTTTTTTCAAGACCAACAAACAAAAACGATAAGGTAAAACAAAACAGATTGGCAGATAAAAACCACACCTGGTAAAGAGAAATAGCAAAACAAAGGTGTGATTTTCATCTGTCAAAACGAATCAAGCGGACCAATCAGCAGCGGACTAGATTGTCGAAAAGGGTATGAATACCGGACACTTTCGACAATCTAGTTATCTACTTTTTGATCACGTTCAACAATCTGACTATACCATTACTGCTCCCTCATCCCCCACACTTTTCCCGACAAACGCTAGATACAGACCTGCCATACTTGACATCGCACTCGTTCGACTACCTTATCCTACTAAAATCGACAACCTCAACGAGCTATCTTCTGACCACAACCCTATCCTTCTGGAGACTTTGTGTACTCCGGTATCATCGTCCCCTCCAACGACTAACCGCTTCATTAACTTGACAAAATACAAGGCAATTCTATCCAACTTACCAAACCCAACTGAACGACCAACCATCAACAGTGAGTCAATTGATTTGGCAATTGATACTCTCACCAAAAACATACACACGCGATCGAAGCTAGCGTATTTACCCCTAAACACAAAAACTCTTCTTTTTTACTACCTGACTACATAAAACTTGAAATAACTGAAAAAAACCAGTTACGCCGTCAATGGCAAAGAAACCGTGACCCGACTACCAAACGTCAACTTAACGCCAAAATCTCACTAATCAGAACTTTACTCGAAACTCACAAAACTGACCAGTGGGACATTTTTCTTAATTCTCTTGACCATCAGAACGGTTCCATATACAAATTAAACAAATGTCTCCTCTACAAATGTCCTGCATCCCACCCTCTTACCGGCCCCAACGGTCTAGTTTTTCCGGCCATCGATCGAGCCGCGTTGATAGCAAACTCTCTCGAACTCCAATTCCAACCAAACCCTGGTCCCGACCTTCCAGAAGTTTCTGCCCACTCCAACTCACTTCGAAACATAAATATCACCAAATCTAATTTATTCACCACTCCTGGCACAATCCAAAAAATCATAAACAACCTCCTCAAAAAGAAAGCCCCTGGTGACGATCTCATCACCAACACTGCTCTCAAATTTCTACCGAATAACATTCTACTTTCCTCAACACAAATTATAAATTGCTCCCTCAGAATTTGCTACTTTCCACGTGCTTGGAAAAAAGCAGTAATAATTTCCATCCCCAAGCAGGGTAAAGATCACAAACTTCCCGAAAAAGCCTTCGACCGGGTCTGGCACGTCGGTCTCCTCTACAAACTATCCCAACTCAACATCTCGACTGAAATCGTTAAAATCATCGAATCCTTTCTCACTGACCGCACTTTTGTCACAAAAATCGAAGACTCATTCTCGTCCACCAGACACATACTCGCAGGCGTCCCTCAAGGATCCTGCCTTTCACCTACTCTCTACTTGACTTACATACACGACATACCAACAACTCCTAAAGCACATCTCTCACTATTCGCTGACGACACTATGTTATTTACTTTCGACAAAAACCCGAAACGAGCAGCCATTCAATTACAACACCAACTCAACCTAGCTACCACATGGTTTCATCGCTGGAAAATCAAAATAAACCCTACCAAAACTGTAGGTATTCTTTTCGGACGTTCCAATACTACTCACATCCCACCATTACTACTCGACAACCATCCAGTGACTTGGTCCAATCATGCCAAATACCTCGGCGTTACAATAGGGCGCAAACTCACCTTCGACAAACACGTTCAAGACATCACCAAAAAGGCCACTCGCGTTCACGGAATTCTTTACCCCATTCTCAACCGTTCTAGAACCGTCCCAAATCTTCAAAACTCAATATTTTAAAACTCTACGTCTCTCCAATTCTTTCTTATGCTGGCCCCTCTTGGGCACAATTTATCGGTCCCTCACATTGGAAACGTATCGAATCTGTTCAAAACATCGGCATTCGCACGATAACGGGTATACCCACTATCGTTAAGAACTCGGTCCTTCTAAAACCAGCAAATTTCAAGTCCATCAAAAATTCTATTCATAGAAAATCCAAATCGATGTTCTACAATAACTCTTTCTCTATTCATCCCCACATCCGACTCTTAGGGAAATCTCACACCCCTCCAACCACAAAGCGTAGAAGCAACCGTAGAAACCCTACCCTTTGACATGGGTTGACCAACAAATTTAAAACCACCTTCCTAAACAGCCATCCACTAGTAGAGGCAAAAGCCTGGTATAGTTTCACGGCTTAGCCATCCCCCCAAAGCAAAGCAATCTAGTTATCGCTTAAATCTCCAAAACTGACTACCAAATTATCAAACCCAACTGAAATTGACAACGAGGTTGATTCATTTACCACACTCATCCAGTCATCAACCGAAAAATGCTCCTACTTCATCAACAAACCACAAACCAGAGAGCCACTCTCCCCCGATATCCTACTTGAGATTGCTACCAAACGGAACTTAAGGAAAGACTGACAACGCATTAGGGATCCATCAGTTAATACTATACTAAACGCCCAAATAGTGTATGTCCGAAACCTCCTCAAAGAACATCGTCAATTAGCATTGGACCGCTTCACATCCCACTAAATTTCCAGGATTGAACACTCTACATATTAAATCGTCGTCTGCTTTACAAGAAGCCAGCTTCCGCCCCGCTGATGACAAACTCCGGTCAAAAAATCTACGACACTGTATCCAAACTGGAACTGTTTGCCGATAAAATGAAAGACCAGTTTACCGCCAACCCTGGGAACGAGCTCTTGGAGGTCAGTCAATCAATCAATGAACTCAACAGATACTCCGAAAAGTCAAACCTATTCACTACCCCTAAGGAAGTATTCGAAATTATTAAAAATCTACCATCCGCCAAAGCCCCTGGACACGAAAACATTACAAACGCTGCACTAAAGCACCTTCCAGCCTCTGCTATTGTAAGACTAAGCAACTTACCCACAGCTTGACTCAGACACTCCTATTTTCCGACCTCCTGAAAAACTGCCACGATCGTCATGATTCCAAAGCCTAACAAAAACCACAGCCTACCAAACAACTACAGGCCAATATCACTTCTCGTCATGATGTCAAAAGTATTTGAAAAAATTCTACTAAGCCATCTCAACAAATATATCAAACCAAGAACAGAACAACACGCTTTCCGACACGGACACTCGACGACTATACAACTCACGAAACTAATCGACCGCCTGGTAATAAATACCAACAATAACAGACACACGGCTGCCATATTCTTGGACATGGAGAAAGCGTTTGACAGAGTATGGCACGACGGATTAATCCACAAGCTCCACACAATGACAACCGTCCCCACATGCCTGATAAAAACCATCAAATCCTTCCTATCAATCCGCAACTTCAGAATACAAATAACCGACCTCAGAACAATCGAAGCAGGAGTACCACAGGGATCATGCCTTTCTCCCCTATTATACATCCAATACATAAACGATCTCCCATCCTCACCTCATGTTACTACTTCATTGTTTGCCGACGACACCATGTTCTACTCTAGCAACACGTCGAAAAACTTCGCAATAATTCGTCTACAACGCCAAGTCACCACGTCAGCCGACTGGATTAAAATGGCGTTCAAAACTGAACACCCAAAAAACAATGTGTATACTTTTTGGAACCAGCCGAAAAGCACCCGCGCGAAAAATCCAAAAACTAGGCCAAACAATCGACTGGAAAATCAAAACCACCTATCTCAGCGTCACTCTAGACATAGCTCTGCGCCTAAACAAGCATGTAAAGGTCTGCATCAAGAAGGCTAAGCAAGCCAGAGGGGCACTTTACCCGATTCTAAATAGCAGATCACCCATCCCGCTGTCAACCAGACTCTCAATTTACCTAGTATACATCAAACCTATATGCCTCTTCGCAATGGGGTCCTCTCATCAGCGCATCAAACTGGGCAAACATAGAGGTAATTCAAAACGTGGCGATCCGGACTATCACAGGTGCCCACTTTCTCACCAGAAATAACTCAATCTTAAATCCACCCATCAACCCATTACGGCACGAAGCAGTACTAGCGGCTAGAGTATTTCACCACATAAATGCCCAATCATCATTCGTACACATTCGCGATATTGGGACATCAGCAGCTCCACAATTATATACACACCGACCAAGGCCAATCACTTTTGCGAAATAAAATCTACTCCATATCCTGAAAACCAGCCATAAAAACTCAAATAATAAGTTATATGCACCGCCTGACACTTAACAACACAGCTGTGTACGCCAAGACACCTGACGAAACACATTCCCGAAGGCCCGTGAACTGTTATGATTGTTGTGGGCCAATGCCACCACTAGCGCCGACTATTTGGGTGGGTAGGCAACTATAGGTGCCCTCGTCTGAAATGTGCAAGGTAGGCAATTCTACGCACGACGACGACGATCAGGACGGGAGATCCCTACCAAAGGGATTAGGATGGTGCAAGCTAATTATGGGGAGGGGGGTCTCTGTGGTCGATTCGATCTGGTGCAATGACCACAGAGCTCACAAAAAACAGGAACAGTACTTAAAATTATCTTAACCCTATTTGAAGTCTTGTGCTGTGGTTGAGCTGGACCGACGGTGACTTGGATGACCTGGGAGGCCTCCCACACACCACGGTGAGTGCTGGCGGACTTACGCGACGATCCGTATGTCTGACTGGGCGGAGTTGGTGGGCACAGGACACAAATACGCGGCAAAGGCCAACTTCCACATAGACACATAATAATAATAAAAAGACTCACACGGTTGCTGTTCGTAATGACGAGGATTTATTTCAATAATATTATGTTCTGTTATGTCGTTTCAATAACGAAGTGAGATCCAGTCACAATGACAACACAAGTACTAATAATAATGGTCTGGTTACATGGACCACACAGTACAGGTTTAACAATAATTTATAACCACATTACGTTGTGTGTGTACCAAAAGGGTACTAAACCAAAAGTAACAGACGTATATAAAAAAAGGTAGGCGCTGCAATAGCGGAAAAAGAAACAGAATTAACAATTAATAATAATTTGCGAACGACGAGAGTATATCATGCACGAACAACACAATGATAACAGTTTCACAACAAGGGAGTTGGCCGCAACAAATAAATAATAAGAAAAAAAAAACACAAGAAATTTAAGATAATACAAATAAACAAAGACAATAAATATGGTGATTCTAATAATCAATAATAATAATAATACACACGGAATATAAGATAGGAAGAAGAGATGAGTGGAACGGAAGAGGAGGGACGATGTCGCCGTCGCGCAGATTAGCGTCCCACGATAAGCAATAATTGCTTGGCGCGAACAACAGCTAAGGTCCTTCTTGGCTCCCATTCCAAAGCAAAGCAAAGCAATCTAGTCAGTCCATTTCAAACCTTCAAACTGTCTACAATCAACTTCAAGCAAGAATTCAGACAGAAGAGGACCCGGACCACTTTACAGACCGCTGCCCGACGACGATACGCCGCTCCACGGTTTCAAACATCGTCCGACTGCTGACTACGTACGAAACTACCGCTCCACGGTAGAGACCTGTGCCGAATTGCAGGCCGACGACTATACGCCGCCCCACGGCTACCAACATCGTCGGAAGACATCGACTAGCAGCTAGTGATAACAGTGATATGTGGGACCTTCCAGACTATATTGTTTAAAACGATTTTACCTTCAGTAGCAGTTGCACCAGTTTTACAACTTAAAGCATTTAATCGCTATGACTTCGAGTTAAAATTAATTCCAATCTAGAATTCACCAATATTCTTTTATAGTCTTCAAACAAACCTAACCAATATTTCAATGGAATGCAAGCACTAAATTCACCTTTGTCATTTTCCGATTGCGTTGCGTTTTTAAAATTCCAACCAGAATTTTCATAACAATTATAGTTGTCTGGTGTACCGGATAAATATCCTTTCAACGAGCTAGTGATTCCAAGAACACGTGTACTACATCTACTTCTATCCCATTTATTTCCAATCGTATTTGTTCGAAGAGGAAAGAGTAACCGTTATTAGATAGTTTCACTTTGGTAGCATCAGTAATTGTTCCTTCCAAAAAATAAAGCTTTCGTGTAGATATAGATAGACATCCGTTTGCTGGATTGATATACGTATTTTATCATTATTATTAAATGATGTTGTATACGGCGTGTATGAATGATATTCAATTTTCGTAATTTTAGAATCCGTTTAGTACTGTGAAGTTATATCTAAAATATCACTCTCAGTCATTCTGCTTTAATTGATAACCTAGACTCTAAGTTTGTTGGCCAGACTTGTACCCCTTAAAAAATTTTGAGTACCCCCAAGGGGTACGCGTACCACAGTTTGAGAATCCCTGTCCTAGAGATTGTAAAATTTTTTTTATTTTTACCGTCAATTTTTTTATTTTATTTGATGTTGCTTGTAGCACTTTAGTCTTATGACTAGTTGACTGATCCGAAGTATTGGGTTTATATTGAATTTTAATCCCATCTCAAGACCCGTAACGTTTAATATGCAACACAATTGTCAATGTCTCGTCAAAATTGTTAATCGGATTGATCTTGATCAACTAACCGAACGGTTATCGTATCAATATTTGTTTTATTCAATTTGTAATATATCAAATTTGGAGGTGACTGATCTACATTCGATCCAGTTCTCCCAATAGGGAAAAACTCATATATTGAATGACTTTGAAGTCGGTTGTTGAATGACCCATGTGATATATTACACATTACTTTTATAGATTTAATTGTGTTTAAATTAGCAGCTTTTCCCGACCGAAGAGCTTCATGTAATGGCTCATAGGTTCTCTTTGCAAACCCAAAAACAGATGCTATACTGTTTGGAATATTTAACTTTAGTTTTCCATTACATTTAATGTATGTTCTAAAATCGACGTGATCAATAGATATGTTGAAAATTAGCTGTGTTCTGCATTCATTATTGAAGTGAAATAATTCTTTCTTAATTTTGTTGTTAATATCTTCAATTTCATAACATCCTTCTTCAAAAATAAATATAAACGTTTTTACTTTAAGTGTATGATTTAATAATTGAATTACTTCTATCTCCAGTTGGTTATTAGTTGAATTTATGTTTGGAAATAAATTACGTGCTTTTAAACACAACAAAGCTATTTCCGAATCCTCGTAAACGTTTAGATATGGAAAATAATTTGTAGATAATATAGTTGTATTTCCAGTCAAACTTAGTGTAATAAATTCATACATAGTAATAATTCAAGACATAAATAGCCACAGTTGAATGTATTGAAATCTTTTTAGTTGGAATAGTTGTATACTATTTTGAACTGTTTGAAATTATGTTGTAATTCAATTGGCGGTGGTAAATCACCAGCTATCAAAATATACAACTTTATCCTTATTTTTATAAAACGCTACAAAATGAATTCCGTCGCCGGAAGAAATATCCAAGTTTAATATGCCACATTCAATAGCATGCGGTGTTTTAGGTAATTTATCACGTGAAAAGACTCCACGGAAATGATTGATTTTCAACTTTCCGACATATTTTATATCTTGGGACGAAAGCGGTCTGTCAGGTAGCGTTATCATCAGTTTTTTTTTTTAAACTTATTCTTGTTGGATTTCGAATAACTAACTTTTTTTTCTTTAAGCTTTCATTGCGTTTGTTACTACGAACGCGACAAATTTCTCTTTTCTAGGAGTATCATTTGCTTTAAATCTTTCCCAAGCACGATTTTCTCACACATCAGCTCTATGTCTATAGTCTAAATTTTACTCGTTGCATACACAATATCTTGATCACGACCAGCAGCATCCCATGGGTTTATTCCTTGATCACCACGATCTAACCTCTGTTTTAATTTCGTACCAGGACCACAATACTGGCTTCAAAACATGGCTTCGAACGGGAGACTATTTGTAAGGGAGTTTACAAATCCTTTTCCAGTCTTGACTGACTTACACTTGCCAGTTGAATGCGTCATCAATAACTGATTATAAATTAAAGAATTCTAGAGTATTTATAAGAAAATAATATGGATTTGATCGAACAGAAAGATAAATTGGATGTTTTAAATGTAGATGTTCAGGTAGTAAGAAAACCATCAAGAAACGGTTCGTTATTACCTGATACTATACGTGCTATACTAGTTGGTCCCAGCGGTTCAGGAAAAACAAATATAACGTTTAATGTGATCCACAGATATAAAATACTAGATAGCTAACAAGGCATCGAACATTGAAGTTATCCGCCATATGCGTGTAGGTCAATGTTTACATAATTGTCTTATCAATACGACATGATAACAATCTGATGGTCAAAATACTTTAATATCTGACGATGAAAAAATTGAATAAGGATAATATTATGTGTTTTCATTAAAAACAATTGCAATAGAAGTATATATTTTTTATATTTTTTTAATATTTTATAAAAAAAATTTATTTTGTTCGAATAATATCATGTTATCATACAGTATTGATAAGATAGTTATGTAAACATTGACCCACACGCATATGGTGGCTAACTTCAACATCGATTACCCTAATTTAGACAAGTTAGCTATCTAGTATTTTATATCTGTGATCTGATCACACATGTAAACGGGTTAAGATTTGGAAATATTTATTTATACTCGAAAACCTCTAATCAGGAAAAATATGTTTTATCAAAAAAAATAATAGATGGTATACAAGGTGCTAATTTTTTCCTATTTACAAGTGCTGATATAAGGTTATAAAACCAAACTTAACGAAGAAAAATTCTATTATAATTGTTGATGATGTGATATGCGGCCCACAATCTGTAATCAGAGAATACTTTAGCATTGGTAGACATTCAGGTGCTAGCTCCCTATTTTATTTAGCACAGACATATTCTAAAATATCAATACAGCTTGTAAGAGATAACGCAAACTTTTTAATAATACTGAAACAAGATGATACAAATTTACGACATATATTCAACGATCATTCGCCTGCAGATATGGATTTCTCAGAATTT